CAGGTCGCTGCGCAGCGGGCACAGCGCCGGCCGCACCGACATGGGGCCTCTGCACCGACATGGGGCCTCCACTGCCTCCATGCCCGGCCCTCAGGTCAACCCGCTCCCGCCTCTCCCAGCGCAGCTCCCTCCAGCCTGGCTGTGTCCTCCCGTGGCCCGGCCCTTTCCCACCTCCATCCTGCCCCGGCTCCCCTCAGCCCGCCCCAAATCCCTCCATCCCGCTCTGGATCCCCACATTCCTGGCATGGCAGATCCTCCTGCTGGGCTGCTCCGGTCATGGATCCCCCAGTCCCGGCTCCCTCAGCGGCTGGGCAGCCTGCAGAGTCCAAAGGGGTTTCCAGTTCCCCCAGTTGTGCCCCAAAACTCAGGTCTTTTTTGGCTCCAGCCTCTCTCCATTGCAGTCTCTCTCACCAGAGCCCTGCCCGAACTGGTAACACATTTTACTGCTTCTTTTTCTTTCCCTCTTTTTAATCCCCATAATCTGTGTTTTTTTTTCTATCACGCAGGGTGTGCTGAGCCCTGCGGGCCTGGCTCCGAGCGTTATTAATCCTGCGAATGCCAAGTATGCAGCCTAGCAGCACCCTTGCCGACCCGTGCACGAGGCTGCCTTCCGGGGAGCTTAGTCAAGGCAGGTTTGACTAACAGCAGGTGAGCTGGCAATTCCGAGAGGCAGATGCCTTTGACTCCCATTCCCAAGAGCAGTGTGGTTGAAGTGAAAAGACTCACCTCAGCCTATAGTTTCCATAATTCAGGACACCCACAATCGCCCTTACTCAGTCTGGTTTACTCACTAAATTGTCCCCGAGGATCTTTTTTGAATGTGCATATATTTATGTATTTTTTTTAATGTCTATATATGTATGTATTTTTCCTTTAACTGCTCTCATAACAAGAGGAAATACAAATAACTGCATTTCTCTCTCGGTTCCCTCTCGGAGGTCTCTAGCCGTGTCCTGTCCCTTGTGTAACTCCACTGACTCTCCTGATGTGTGTGAGGAGGGAGCAGGGGTCAAAGACCTGGTGGTGATTTGGGAACTGAAGTTTATGAAAGTGAAGTGCTGCAGCTCCCTTAAGCATCTGAATTACTGGAATCACAGCCACGCTCTGTTAGACGCTCATCAGAGGTTGTAGCACACAGGTCCCACTGAGCAGGAGTCCTGGTTTTATTTCCAACTCTTCCAGGCCAGCAGTTTTTTTGCATGCAATCTGCATTTGCTGGCTAAGGGAAATGATGCTGATTTCCCATGTGACTCACATGACACATAATCTCCTGATTCCCTGTCTGTGTTACGAGGGCTCCTTTTCCTGGCTCACCAGACTACAGCCCTCTAGAAGAACCAGTGACTCATTTCAGAGGGCTCGTGTTTGGTGAAAGAAAAGCAGAGCCAAAACTTTGGCTAGCACCCAGGGAAAACACTGTTAGCGTACAGTGCACGTGCTATAGGAACAAGCATCTCCTTTTATCATACCAAAAAAGAAGGCGTTTTACAAATCCATTTCACAAACCTTCCCTGTTTACCTTTGCCTTCATTTGGAGAAGAACAGACCATGCAGTTGGCTTCTCTTTTGTTTGCAGCGAGTTTCTCCCCACCATGGTACCTTGCTTGACATTAAGCTGGGCCGAGTTGTTGCAACGACATCCTCCTGTCCTCACTCAGCTGTTAGACAGCCACCCATTTGCATTGCTACCTAAAGAGGTCTTATTTAATGTACATACAAGCCTGACTGGCTAAAAAAAGGCTGCAGCTGTATTTCCCATTGGCAACAGAGGCTGGTTTCCACCAAACAGAAACACCATCAATAAACAGAAGAGGGAAGATTTGAAACTCTCAATACGCCAAGGGTGAAACGAAAGCAGGGAAAAAGCAAAGGAGCCTAGGCCTGCTTTCCGAGTTGGGTAGATATAGAGGGTGCAAAGTGTACAATATTGCTGTAATTCTTACTACATTAGTGGCAAGATTAATAGTTTGCACAGACCCAGGACGCTGGACCTCTTTACTCCCAGCACCTTCCTGTTAAATCAGTGACGGTTGGGTTTATTTCTTTGACCTTCTGCAAGAAAATACGAATCCCTTTGCATGCTTAAACCAGTGCTTTCTAATATAACGCTGATTGCCACCGCTCTCTAGCTCACCTGAAAAACAAAGGCTTGTATTTGGCCTACTTCACTGGTTTTTTTACTTGCACTACTATTTCTCTTTCTTAGATTCTGCATGCCTTCTCCATGCATGCATTCTCCAGCATTCTCCAGCATTCTCCTTCTGCATGCAAATGTTCTCCAGCCCTGCCTTTGCAAGCCCTTATGAAATCATGCTCTGAAAACGTGTGTGTCGGGAGTGTTTAAGAAAAGCAGTGGTGACGATTACTTTGTTCCAAAATTAGAAATCAGGGGAATTGGCATTGTGATCTGTGGACTCTGGACTCTCCTTGCCTGGATTTTCCATTCAGGCAGGCACAGTCAATGAAAACAAAAGCTGTGTGGTTTTTTTTCTTTTTTTTCTCCCACTGATCCCTGTCTCTACTCCAAGAAGGTGTTCCAGTTTTCCATCCTTCCTGTAAAAAGGAGAGCATCTTTGCCAACAGGGCTGGTGACACAAAGTTGCACTGTGATGCCCTTGCGGCGTGAATCCTGTTCTGCAACAAAAGGCACCTTGTAGGAGTGATTCTGTTCCCACAGGAGAGAAAAAAACATCCTCTAGACAAACAACAAAACAAACTCTATGGAGAAAGAATTAATTAGACTGTCCCGATACTAGCCCAAGGAGACTAGACTGGAAAAATTCTCTCTAGTTTTCAGATTTGCCCTGCATTACACAGATTTGAAAATTCTCACATTAAGCCATAGTGTAGACTTCAGTGTGGCATCAGCCTATGCTTCTGCTTTGCAGAATATCTCGTTGAATATCGCCTGATATTCAATCTGACACTAATTAATCTGGCTGGGATCAGAGTCCAGATCCAGCTTTCCACTTCAGCTGGCCCATTGACCTGCCCACTTTGTAGAGAGGACAGTAAAGGGGTATTCCCAGCTCCAGGACTTTCCAACAGCCCTGCCATGGGCTCACAAGCCCAGGCACCTTCTCCTGCAACTCGCCTAGAAAAGCATCTTGGACCAATACAAGTGCGTTCCGGGATGCATCAGGATGAACATACACCTAAAAATATGTACAGGTGAGTGCAGCCCTGGTAAGGTTGCTGTCCATCTTGCTCACCCCGACCAGACTGAGTCATTTACCTCTGAGCAGCAACATCTCAGGCCAATCGCAATGATGACATCCATGTGAGGCGCCCTGTGGAGTTTGGATGGAGCGTGGGTAGGATGGAAGGAAGTAGAGAAGTGGTTCAGCCTCTGGAAATGCTGTTATAGGGCATTTCCAAGTAGATGGCAGTTCTAATATTAGCATTTAAGAAGGGGGGGTGGAGGGAGAAAAAAGAAAATTAAGATACCTTATCATAAACCTTAAATATATTTATCAGGAAAAAAAAAAAAAGGTTTAATGGCAACAGACTCCTAAGCCTTGGATGAGAAAAGTCGCAAAGAAATTCAGTGATCAGATCTCAAGCAGGGACAGATCAGACTAGAAACAACATGTAAATATTTGGCATTGTGGGTGATAGAGCATAGACTCAAATGGTAGAGTAAACTCTGGCCCGAAATCAGACTGAACATTCATTTTCTCCTGGACCTCGGGAGGTCCTAGACGTATGGTATTTTCTGCATTTCTGTGGAATATCCTGGTTTTCTAACTGGTCTCCCAGTCCCTCAGGAGCAGCTGCAATGCATAGCTGAAGGTCCAGCCTTGCACACCTCAGGGGACACAACACCCTGCCAAAGACACTTCAGCGGAGTTACACAGTTAAAATGAACCAGATAGCCAGGGACTATCCAGAGCCCAGGAAAACTAGGGCCATGCTGGCCAATACGAGCAGTTGCTTCTTGCAGTGTGATCACTTTTTTCTTTTTCTCACAGACAGACTCTTGGAACACAAGGTCTTGGACAGACCCCAACCCAGTTATCATTCAGCTGTACCCTTCCTGTAGCTGCTTTGGTGTCTTTTTTTATTTTATTTTATTTTTTCATTCATTAAAGCCAATTGACATCTCTTTGTTTATTCATGGAACACCCATCTTGGGTAACACAGACATATATTTACAGCTCATCATTTCTGCAGCAGGCTCTTCATTTATGGCTGATCCAGACCAAACCTGTCAGAAGAAGAGCCAGTCTAATGAAGGAGGAACTGGAAGGTCCCTCCTTCTCTTTGCTTTGCTTGGCTCTCCTCACCCCTTCATGCACACCCTGCCCTTTTGATGCTAGCTTGTTATGGTGGAAGATCAACAACACGCTCACAAACACCAACATTTTTGTTTTCCTCTCCAGAAAGAGGCTTCAGTGAAGCACTGAGGCAAGAGAAGGCAGAAGTTTTCTTCACCAGTGACAGCATCCCGTTGAACATGAACAATGTTTAAGACTGGATACAGCTGAAGATCCACCAGTATACTGTAAAGCACTGTAACAGTAAGGCTGAAAGCAGTTGTGCATGGGCTGTGTGAACCTCCATGCATTTCTGATTGTGTTAAAGGCTCACATTTGATGGTCTTCCTCCAAGAAAAGAAAGCTTTGGTCCCCTGGACAGTTTGCTTCCAGCACTGCTGTCCATTGCATCACTGATCTCCGTGTTTGTCATGTCATCCATGAATGTCCACTTTTATAAGCATCTGCGATCAACTTCATTCTTGATGCATAGCACTACCTCCATTCAGATGGTGTGTCATCTGATTAAAGTACAAAATTGGCCTTAATAATCTCATTTTGCAGGCAAGATCCAGCTCTTGCGTCTTTTAATTCTGCATAAGAATTGTGCTTGTGCATTAGTTTGTCATCCACGACAAGACTGACTTCATTACCTGATGTTTTACTGAGTGTCTCTCTGAGCCCTTTCTAGCACTCAAATCATGTAATCATTGGCTGTTCCTATAAGAGCATAAACCCTCTATGAACAACAGGTAGAGCAGCAGTGCTTAAGAACACACTGTCATG